AGTCTTTCAGAGCAAAGTGAGGTGCCTTGCTGTGGGACATCTGCAGTACTGGTAGTGTTCATCCTCTTGCTGTGAGCTCATAGAAAGCTGGTTACCTCGTCCAGCACTGTTTCTCGGTCAGTTTATTCATTTTCTGGTTTGGTGGAATTTTTTAGATGCATTCTCCCATGGGAGCTTCCTTCTGCATCTCGTATTCTTCGCATCAAGTGTTATCTCCTGCAGTATGAGGAGGGAGGCACTGCACACTTCCTTTCCTCTTTTTCTGTATCAGCTATCATCGACCTTTTCCCAATTCACCTCCTGTTCTGAGTTTGGCCATCTCTCCCTCTTACTTCTCAGCCTGACCCTGCGTGGCTATTCTGACACCAGATCCTCTAGACATCTAACTTGTTTTCTTCATCCCATTTGGCTTGCAAGCAGGATTGATTGAAAATAGTCTAACCACCACTCTTTATTTTCTCCCTTCACAGGATTTCTGTTCATTTCATTTTCACAATTACTTACCTGATTTCTTCTTGACCATCTGTGTGGTGTCTGAATAACCCAAAGTATAAATATGACATACACTTCCAGAAGAATGGAGAGATAATAAATTTTGACCTTCCTTGTTAAGACTCATCAGCACCTCTCACTTCCACCTCTTTAAGGAATACTTATTGCAAAGGACAATCTATTTAATTTACATCTGTAGGATCCCATGTGACCATAAGGATCTGCCCTTGTGGATTTTGTTGCTTCCGAGGTCTATGGAGGTGTGAAGATGAAACAGAGAAGCAGCTGTTTAAGTGAGTTATAGCATGCGAGAGCAGACAGTAAACCAGCAAAGGTTATAAATGTGAATTTATCTTCTTTGAATGACACTTCAGCATACTTTTTGTTTGTTTTCTTAGCTTGTCTTTTTCAGTTAAATAGTGGTTTCATTCTTTCAGTTATTAGTATAAAGATACAAAGATAGGCATGGCATTGAACAACAGGTTAAAACATAATGTAGTATAAAACACCGTGAAGGAGTAATTGAAAAATACATAAGGTAAGTAAAAGAAAATAAGTAATCAAAGTACCACATATCAGAGTCCAAAGCCAGTCCCCGGGGATCTTTTTGTGCGTGACAGCTACTACCAGTCACAAGGCTGATTTGGTGACTCTAGGCAGTTACTTATGTATTCAGGTCACACTTTGTTCTCTTCTTCAGTTACAGCTTCAACCAGATATGGTATCCTCTCTCAGCATTTCTTGACAAAAGTCAGGCTAAAGGCTTTTCAGAAGGGGAGGTTAATGCACTTTCCATATTGATATTACCAGTTTGAGGGTAAGATAAAAAAAATGAATCACTAAATGTGAAAACTGAAAATACATACATGTTCATAATTATGCCCAACAGCTTAGGAAAGGGGTAAATAGTAACTCTCTCAAGCTGCTGGGCTTTTTTTGCCAGAAATTAATTTATTTGGAAGGGCAAGAGGAGGGACAGAACAATATTTCTGCAGTTGATGTCCACCTTATCCTCACCTCAGGGAAAATACAGACCATGACAGTCCTGGCAGTTTCTAACCCCATCTTGGATGATCAGCTTTACACAGCTACTCGTTATGAAGTTGACTTGGGCTTCGTAGGGAAATGATACCAGCTGACGCAGAAGGGCAAGAAAGGTGTCCATAAAGATGTAGTTCACTAAATTTCATTGAGAATTAAGTTCTACCTTTACGTAAAAGTTTTAGCTCTTAAGACTTGTATGCAAAACAATTTCAAAATAATTTTATTACTAGCCTGTAATATACTGAGTCTTAATCTTTCTATTACTTTTTAATGATGTACTGGAGAACGTGGAGGCCTTCCATTTTACTGAGCATATTTCCTTTAAACTCCAAAACCCATACAGAAATGCAGTCTATTACTTCCTTAATAATTTCAATATTATTTTGTCATGTATGCTTTTCTAACATGGAAGTTTGGGAATTTGCTGTGGAGTATTCATTTAAAGCAGAACTCTTAGATCAAGTCCTTTTTTTCTTTTTTTTTTTTTTCCCCCTTCATTTTAGTATAGGGATGTCATGGTGAAAGATGGATTTCTGTGGGACATCTCTCACAACGATGATTTATTATTTAACATTAGTTAGTCTCAGTCCATCTTCTTCCTGGCCACTGTGTAAGGTATTCTTAAAGGATAACTGACTGTCTTGGTAGAGTGCTTTGGGATACACAGAGAACGCTGTGCACAAACCAGTATTACGGTCTCAGAGTCACTGGACTTGTACTCGCTCACTTCACAGAAAATGCCATTTCCCAGCATTAATTAGAGACAGAGCCCAAGGATTGAATGTGGATGTTGACTCATCTGATTCTTCAGATCATTGGCGAGGTCAGTTGCTGGAAGATTTCTGGAGCACTGTGTGGACACAGAGCTCCAGTTTCCAGGCTGCAGACAAAGCTGCCCAGAGGGTAAGGTGGGTGGAAGTAGGTGGTTTCCCTTGGAGCTGAGAAATCTTCCACGAACCGCTGAGGCTCCTGTTGCATCAGAGACCAACTCTGGTTTGCCATGAACAAGCTAAGAAGCTTGCTGAATAGAAAAAGCACTTTGCCACAGAGACAAGATTCAGTCAAAAGAGAAGAAAGAAGCACTGTAGTTAGGACTCCAGGAATAAATCTTTAAATAGAAGTGCTTTCAAAACACCTATAGTATCCTCTCTTGCATCAATGAAAAATATGCGGCTGCTTTGCAAGGGACTAGCTTTCACCAGCTCAAGAAAATCAGAAAGCTGATATTTTTCCAGCTTCCCATGAGCTTCCGCAAACTGATAGTTATAAATCCACCATAGGGAAGAGGATATTATATTTCTTAAGAGAGAAAAGAGGGCTGATGACTAATGCTGAAGTGAATTGTTAAGAGACTTATTTACTTAATTGAGCCTGCTTGTTTGGTATGTGTCCCAATTAATTCATTTTCGTTGTGACCATATTGAAGCAACCTACACCTTTGTGACCTTCTTTTATAATTATTACCATATTCCTCTTTTGAAGCACTGTTTTGATTATGTGCTCAAAAAGCTCTGCTAAAATATCTGTAGCATTAGTACAGAGTCAGTTTTTTCCATTGTTTTGAACTTAAAGATAGTAACAAAAAGAATCATTCTTTTTTGAAGTTCTTGGAGGTTATGGGTCACTTACAGCCCTTAGGGGATGGGGGGGATCTTCCTTTTTAATTTCACAAAATGACTATTTTTAATAGGCAGAACTTGTTCTCTGGTTAGAAATTCTTTTAAGAAAAATGTGGGTTTGGGTGGTAGCACTTAGAGGTGCCTCATAATTCCTCTGGTGTGCTGAATATTGTACATATTACAGGGTCACAGGGGAAAGTAACAGCAGCTGAAAAGGGGCTGGCAAGTATGACCATCCCTAAACTTGCTGAGATTGCTACGTGGAATCCCTGCCCCAAATGAGGCATTGTTTTCATTATTGCTTAAATTAACTACAGTATTTGACAGCTCTTTGCCTAAATCACAAAGGAGCCTGGTCTGGACACCTGTCTGTGAAGGAGAGACTCTTTCAGACATGGCAGTCAAATTCGCAGTGGTAGGTGACTCTGTCAGTGAGGGGGTTCCCTGTACAAGGGGGGTGTTAATTCCTCAGTGCTTCATCGGATGAAGATTTTGCTGGTTTGTGCCAACCTCCACGATAGTAACTTACACTCAATAAGATGTTTTTGTACTCCTGTCCTCAGCTCCTCTCCTCCTGTTTACCTGAAAATCCCAGCCAAATGGTCTTCCTCCATCATGGCATGCACACACGCACTGGTGGAGCTAGTTCTGGGCAGCAATCCCACAGGCCGTGTCGGTTTAGAGAAAGGTGCTCTGCGTGTTGCATCTTTCATTCCAGTGGAAATAGAAGCTCTTTTACCAGAAGTAAGTCTTAAACCAAGCCCCCGTTGCCACTGGCTGTTGTATTTGGAAAGCTCCTGAGTACCCTTGCAGTTTTGTGCACCTCTTACAACAGCAGTCCCTTCTCTTCAGGCCACAGGACCCTTGCAGACAGTATTTCTTTACACAAGGCTTGCTGATACTGTTTCTCTTACTGAGCTAAGTAGTATCACTGCTACCCCCAGTCTCCATCGGCGCTCTGCTCCCTTCTGTCCAGGCCACGCTTTTAACTTCTTGGAGCACTGTGTACCTTTTTTTCTCTTCCTCATTCCCAGTCCTTTTCTCTCTACTTCCTTACAGAGTGCATTCATGTCTGTGTTTTATGCTGTGTGGAGTTTCGTTTTTTGTAAGGCAGACTTTCTCTGTTCCTGAAACAATTTATTAAAACACTTTTTTAAACATAATGGCTCGGTCTGGATCTCAGTTTTTCAATGGATGGCCCTCTAAGCTGCTGGGGATTTTGATGCCTGAGGACAGTGGGTGCTGGGTAGAGCTTGCCCCGGATGACAGCCACTCATTGGCGTGCTGTGTACTGTTGTTTTAACGTTTGTCGGAGCAATCTTCTGTTCTCCTTCAATGTAAGACTGCTCATGTAGCAAAAATGCCTGCATCAGTAGAAAAGAAAAGGTTCGGAAGTCTTCCTTCAGCCATGAATAATAATCCAGTGTAAAACAGACCACCATCTCAGACCAGGCCTTTTTCATGCACCAGGCAAAGGTGGGTGATTGAAGAAGCCAAAGGAGCGGTCTCTCCACAAACATGGAATTAGAGGTTAATGCTTTGCCCTGCTTAGTCTTGACTTTCTCTCTTTACATAATGTTGTTTAACTCTTTGACTATGTCTATGTCTAGAACACTTTGACTAAGTGTTCTGCTTTAGAGACCATATGAAAGATGCTGTATGAAAGATTAATTTTCTTTCTATCATTGGGAATTTCCTTTTTACATGAACTCATGTGCCAGATCACACAGCATGCAGCCAAGGTGTTGCATTTTATATGTCACCTCCAGGACTCTACTGAATGAAATCTGCAAGTCTTCAGAGTTCTTAAAATATGACTTTCTGTTTATGTGGTTTTTGGCATAGAAACGGAAAAGCTGGGGCTGGAGGTGGGAAATGGATTGCCATCTTGGAAATTTAACGACCAGCTCTTTCCTTGTGATGTGTGTGGAAAAGTGTTCGGTCGACAGCAGACTCTGTCCCGGCATCTCTCGCTGCACACAGGTAAGCCGATGCTTTGTGGTTGGTTGTTACAGCACTGAGGAAATCTGTGTGTTCATCATGGTTTAAGTGGAGGGGGAAGACGGTAAGCAGAACCGCATGTGAGCCATCCTCAACTCCTTGCACTTAGAGCAGAGCCAAGCACAGAAACAGGGCAGAATGTCAGAGTGGTGTTCAGGGAATTAACTAACATTTTATTTCTTTACAGCCTACTTGTAATTTGTCTTTACAAAATGTGTAAATTCAAATTTGTCCAGGTTCCAGTAGAGCAGCCTGTAGATACCAACTGGTTAACCAAGCCTGTTAATGGAGTTCTGAAGAGAAGGCACAGCCTTTCTTACATTCACCTGATGAGCTTTTTAAACGTCACTGAACAACAAAAGGTTTGGCCTTGGTGTTTCAGATCTGGTGAAACTGAAAGGATTTAATATCTGTCATTCATCTTTGCTCTCATCATCCAGTTCTTCTGAGAGGAACAGGGGCTGTTCTACCCCGTACCAACTTTCTTAAAGTGAATCAGCTTCAAATCAACTGAGACTAACAGAGTTTTGTATATGGAAGATGCACCTTATCAGCCTGCTGAGGTGCACTGCACAAAATAAGACTTGAAAGCAAGAATTTCTGATGCAGTGCTGAAAAATATTGTTGGTATGCCAGTGTACATTGTACCGTCTAGTAGAGCCACACTGAAAAGGTTCAAATGCTCTGTTCTGTGGCATCATGGGGTGTTCTTAGTCCTAAGCTGTTCTGTTGAATGCCTTTCCCCTAACACTTGTAGCATTATATTTCAAATTTAGAGCAGCAGCTCCTCAAAGGGAAAGGTTGTAAAAGCTGATGTAATGTTTGGTTATTTTAAATAACTCTTTGCAAAATAAAGCCTGGCATGTACAAAAAATGTGCTGCCAGGATTTAGAAATGTTTAATTTAAAATAAAATCATTTTTATTTTAAATTGTTTAAGTTGTGAAGCATCAGAAACTCATGATGAATTTGTTTAATTTCTTCAACAGTTTTTTGAGTGAGTTTTTTTCATTAGTTTGTATTTGGAACTGGCCTAATGATACAGCATTCCCTTTCCTCCCCACCCTCAGATTTTAATACAAAATCATCAACCATCGACTCTCTGCAAGTGATCACATAGGCAACCTCAAGAATAACGGGACCCAAAAATCAAATAAAAGATGCTAGGTAAAGGAAGGAGTTGTAGATTATTGACCTGTTTCTCTACTGGCTCTGCTGCAGCTCTCAGAGCAGCAGTTGCCCCAGTTTTGCAGTTTATAAAGTTTTATATTATCTGACTACAAATGGTAGAGCAAGTTAAAAAAACTAGCCCTAAACTACCTCCAAGTTATTTTTTTTCTGAGTAATTGCTGTGAAGTCCTATAAGTTTCCAAAATGTTGAGCTTCCAAAGTACTTAATTCTCAAAGCTGCTCAGAGAAACCCAAAGGAATGCATACTTGGTTATTGGCAGCTTTAAAAATAGCTTGCTTCAAAATGAAGTATACATTTAAGGTTTCCTCTTTCTTTTTCAGAAGAGAGAAAATACAAATGCCACTTGTGCCCCTATGCTGCTAAGTGCCGTGCTAATCTGAACCAGCACCTGACCGTCCATTCTGTGAAGCTGGTGAGTACAGACACTGAGGACATTGTCAGCGCTGTCACTTCTGAAGGTGGCGATGGAAAGAAGCACCCTTATTACTACAGGTGAGGACCCAGACAAGGGCTGTGCACCAGACGCTGGAACCTGAATGTCTTATCTGCCTGCTAAGGACGCATTACAGGGCCACCCTTCTGGTGTTGCAGGGTGGATCTGCGATGAAAGTATTTGTCTTGCCCATATCTGACTTAGGCTAAGCAGCAAAACCCAGCTGGCTGCCTCATGCTGTTTGACTTGGCTAGCCATTGGGAAAGACTCTGGGGTTTGGTGTGGGGTTGTTTTTTTAAACGGCTTTGTGAGGCAGATGGGCTCTTAAAAGACTCTTTAACTTTTTATGCAGTGTTCGTTTAAGTTTTGTCTTTGGAAACATCCTGTTGCGTACACAGATTCACAGCAAATCTAAAGCACTGTGCTTCCAGTCGCCTCTGACACCTCCGTTGTTTTCAGCCAAATCTATGAAATCAAATAGTAAAGCATAATAAGAATTGTTATATCGATATACACATTTTCTCCATTTGCTAGAGATATATACATTCAGTGACCAACATGATGAAAGAAAGGAGAATTTGCCTGAAAAATTAAAAGGAATTGCCCCAGATAAAATGGATATTTGGACATTCTCCTTTTTGTATGCACTGTTGTACACTTTGCAAACTGTGATATGCACTCCAGCAGCCAAGCAGATTACCAAATCACTCTTACTTTTAGTCAAAGTGCCAAGAGCAGATTTAATTACAAAATCATAGAAGTAAGAAATAAATGAGACCTGCTGGATTAGATTATCTAGTCCATCCCCCTGGGAAAGCAAAATAGTGCCCTAGAGCATACGCCTTTTTAAATGTTTTTGGCTTGTTTTAAATGTTAATGGCCTAATCAAAACAAGAGGAGGACTCTGCAAAGAAAGTTAAATTCAAGGGTCCTTTCCATTGCCTCTCAGTATCGCTCTGTTTATGCACTGGCTGTGAAATCCGTATCCCTGCTAATTATTTGCATAGCTGATGACTGCTGTTTTCCAGTCAAGCATAAGAAATGTTTGAACCCATTTTTACTTGCTTACACTGAAACTGCCAGGCAGTTTTACACAAGATTCGCGTTTGGCATGGGAACCATTCCAGGGCTGGAAAATAATTCCTGGAGTGTGCAGCAAGCTCTCCGTTTGTCAGTGTATCAGCCATACTAAACATCTTGGCAAAGCTGCAATGCCTCTTATTGCCCAGAGGAATCAGCTAGGTGATGCGCAGCATCTGGAATCTGTAGTTTTTAATTAACTTTATGATTATTTAGCATCGTTATAGCATGTACAGGATTGTTGCATTGTGCCTGCTCTTAATCACATTGGCATGACCATCAGTTCAAAGGCAGTACAGCAGACAAAAGAATTTTGTGAACATTCAACAGTGAGGAAGAGAAGAAATCTGTTGTCGTGGTTTAACCCCACGCAGCCGCTCACTCATACCCCCGCTCCAGTGGGATGGGGGAGAGAATCGGCAGGGCTCAAGTAGGAAAACTCCCAGGTTGAGATTAAAACAGTTTAATAATTGAAATAAAACAACATAGAACAGTAATAGTAACAGTGAGAACAACAACAGTAACAGAGCACACCCCCCAAGCTACTGGGAAGAAAGTTAACTCTGTCCCAGCCGGAACCAGGACACCTGTGCAGTGAGTTTTTTCTTGCAAATTCAGGGAAAGGCAATATGCTTCTGTTTGTGGTTTGTTTTTTTAATGTTTCTTACTCTTGAATTCCCTTCTGCCTGCAGCTGTCATGTGTGTGGGTTTGAGACGGAGATGAATGTCCAGTTTGTCAGTCATATGTCCCTCCATGTGGATAAAGAGCAGTGGATGTTCTCCATTTGCTGCACAGCATGCGATTTTGTCACTATGGAAGAGGCAGATATGAAGGCTCATGTCAACAGCAAGCACACAGGTGATGATCCCTCTCTCCCAGCTGCAGTGATCTCTCTCTTCCTTGCTTTTTAGGTGCAACCTTCACACTTCCCATTAGCACTCTACTTTCACTGAAACGCTTGCTAATTAAGGCCTGATCTCTGAAAGTTGAAGTGAATTGGATTCCAGCCAGGCAAATAATCTGGTAGTGCAGATCAGTTTTCAAGTTTAGCGAAATAAATGAAGGACTACTTAGTCCTCCTTCTTCCTGTTCCCCTTATCCCCCAAATCCCTGTTGAAGTCAGCATACTTTGTTTGTTTTTCTGACTGGTTTACAATTTCATCAAAATCCTGGTTTGACTTCAGTGATAAGGTGACTTTGAGTGCTAATTGTGCATACCTGGCTGTAAGTTTGAAATACGCAGTATGTTGAGCTTTGCTCTTCAGTGTGTTTGCCTCCACAGCCTATCAGTTTGGAATTTCACGCTGATGTTTAGTTGACACTGTGATTCAGCAATACCATAAATGTAACTTTATATTAATGACAGAACAAGTCATGTGTTCACTTAATAGCCAAAGCTAAGTGCAATAGCAGTTTTCAAACAAGCTCCATATGCTTAGTCCAACTAATGAAGTCTGGCATAATTTAAGGAGAAAATTAGAATCCTTTTAATTAATTTCTCTTTTAACACCAGGCAGAAGCATTTTGCTGCCACAAACTACTAACGATTGTGTTGACAATACTGAACCTGAATTGCATCCAGCACAATGTTTCCATTGCTAAATTGCTTTTCCTGTCCTATTAGGAATAAAATTGGGAAAACAGGGAGGGGTGGAGAAGAAGGGAGAGAAGAATGCAGTTGTTTGTGCTCACAGATACATAAGTTAAATGTAACTACAGAAATACGAACTACTGGAAAGCTCTCAAGGGATTTTATGCCCGCATAGCTCTCAGCACTGCTCCCTGCTATCTGAGGTGTTTGCATCTAACTCCACTTCATATATAGGAAGTCAAGGCAAATGAGAAACGCCTCCCATAGCCACGTGAAAAGCTTGCATCGAAGCTCAAAACTGAACTGTACTCTACCGTATCTTCCTATCGTGGCTAAAAGATTGGAGCTGCTGCTTGTCTTTTAAAGAAAGACAAAAAACCCCCTTGTTCTTCCTTCACCCTGTCAAACTGAACCATTCAGTTGACGATTCAGCCAAATGCTTACACATATGGTAAATACAGAGAGTGAAAAATAGAATGGATTTTCTGGGTCACTTGACTCCAGTCCCTTATCCTGTAATGTTACCAAGTCATAAAAGGCCTGTTTGTAAGGATGTTGGCAAATGTCTTCAAAAAAGTAGAATTGTTTTAAGCCAACTACTTCTACAGACAGGCAGCTGCAGTTTTTCCTGCATTAAAAATTAGGGATCTTTTTAAGATTTCGAGCATGTGCCTTACTGCTAATCAGAATACACATACACATTCTTGTGCCAGAACTGTCCTTTATCTGAAACAGCAGTCCACCTCTTGCTCCCTCCACCTTTATTCCCTCCTTCCACAGTATTTATTCCCTTAGTATATTTATAGAGAACAACCCTCTCCCCTCTAAATGTACACTGAGCCTTTTCTTATATGAAACACCGTTTTCTCACTGTACCAATCCCTCACTGCATATGTTCTTGTTAGAACCCCTGCTCTCGACATATGCAATCACAGCTGTACATGGTGAAATGAAATAAGTAGTGGTGGCAGTGTAAAACAGCAGCAGCTACTGGGAATAGCTCACACAATAACATTCTGTGATCATATTTACCTTCCTTGAAGGCTCCCCCACACCGATTGCTCATATTCATCCCATGTTCTGCTCAAATTCTTCTTTTGTTTTCCTTGACTCTTTCAAGCTTAAGCACTCCTCATTTTTAGCAAAAATTCTCGTTACTGGCCCTTCAGGTCATAACCTTGTACTCTGTACTATTAAATTTCATTCCATTTCTATTACTCTGGTCCCCAAGGTCAGTGAATCTTTCTATATGATATCCCAGTCATCCTCCCTATTGACAGCTAGGGTCATCAGATTTCATTAGTGCATTCCTACATTTTTATCTTAGACTTAAAGATGCCACTCATCAGTTTAAAGCTAGGCACATAAGTACTGGTGTTTGCAGAGGCTTTGATCAGGGGACGTTATCACATAGAGAATATGAAGTTTTAGTAAGGTCTCTTTTAACACAGCTCTGATTAAACCAAGACTTAGGTGGGAGGTAATAATTTGCCCATCCTTGCCTCGTTGGCTCACAGCAGTTCTCACGTGAGAACCCTCACTCTTGTTCATTTCTAGTGTGTGATAGGGTTTGGGATTTGAACTTCATGCATTTATTGCACACATAAGGAAACTCTGATGGGCTTCAGCTTTAGATCCAGTTAAATAACGGGGTTTTTAATTAATATCTTCAATAACAGATCCTAATAAAAACAGATAAATCTTGAGACCATGCTGTTATCTCTTACAATCATTACTGAGGATGCTCCTCAGTACAATGAGTGAGATTATTCTCCTTTGCCCTTCCTCCCAGATTTACCCATTGGACCCACATAAACGGAAAGGTGGGGGAAGTTTAGCTTGGGCCAGTAGGCACTTTTGGTTTCCGCACCCCAAACCTACAGAAGCCCCGTTTCCTTTCTAAGTGACAAGTTCTTCATTGTTTTTGAACTCTGAGCTAATCAGAGTGTTTTCTTGGGATTTTTTCAGCCTGGTAATGAGGTAGAGTTGCATGCTTCCTTCCCACTACCATTACAGACAGGCTCAGTTCTAGGATAAACTGAGAGATGTACTGTTGTAAACGCTAATAAAAAGGATGGAGGTGCAACTATGATTTCTTAACAGATCAATGAATTTCAGACTTGTTTATAAGCATGTTTGAATTAACTTTAAATATAAATATTTTTCCTGAAATTTAAAACAGGATCATTGAGATTTCATCTAATCTGCTGTACTAGTTATTGCTCTTTATTCCTGTTTTTCAGCTGAAGAGAGGAAGACACCCAGTGAATCTAACAGTCCATCTTCATCTTCGCTGTCAGCACTGAGTGACTCTGCCAACAGCAAAGAAGATGCAGATATAACCCCAAAAAACAAGGGTTCAAACAGCCTGCTAGTCATTTCTGTAGTGCCTGGTAGTCAGACCTCAGTGAACACTGAAGAGAAGTCAGAGAAAGGTAAAACACTATTACACAAATACAAACTGTCACCTTCTATGCAGTCGATCTGGCCCCAATGTAAGGAATAAATTTCCTGTTTTATTTTTCAGGCTTTGAATGTGTTTTCTGTAACTTCGTCTGCAAAACAAAAAATATGTTTGAGCGCCATCTGCAAATTCACCTGATCACACGGATGTTCGAGTGTGATGTGTGCCACAAGTTCATGAAGACACCTGAACAATTACTGGAGCACAAGAAATGCCACACTGTCCCCACCGGTGGGCTCAAGTAAGGAAAGCAAGTACACAAACTTTTACTGTGTTAAGCACCTCTAATACTGTGGGGATAGGACAAAAGGAAGTCAATTAGAAAGGGTTAGTTAAATGTCTGATAATCCAGATTTGGGGCTTCCTTTCATTTAGATGACCCAAGCCCAGTCCTTTAGTATAGGCTTGCACCAGATCGGTAACCTAGCAGTAGATGTAGTATCCACTGGTCTTAGAGCTGTAATATGGTCCTTTCCCTTTTCAAGTCAAATAGGAGACAGTATGTGATGGGTCCTACAGAGAATGAGGCAGCACTACACAGAGGTGTTGGCAAACTAAGAGGGGTTTTTTTCAAGGCATCAGAGCAAAGGAGAGCACACAGCACAGGCTCTATTCTGCACCTGGCTCAAAGAAACTAAACCCTGTACAGTCTCTGCAACTAGGTATGAAGTTACAACCTTAAAGGTTATAACCTCTGTAGATTCTAATGCAAAGTCAGACCTCTCCAAGAATTAATAACTTTGATGCTTTCTGCTTTGGTTTGCATGCCCAGAATGATCACTATTGTATAAATCAACATGTAACGAGTAATGCGCTCTTTTAAGAAAAAAGCCCTTTGGCTTTGGCTAAGGTGGTGTCCTTTAAGGTCTGTTGGTACAGAGCAGTGTTTCTAGAGAATGAGCATGCCCTTATGTCCAAGTTGGACCCCTGAGGGAAGGAGTGACTGCTGGGGCCATATGCTTGCTCTCTGTGGGCAGGCAATGTGACATTATGCAAGATGCACGTCCCTGGTCTCTGTTTGTTCCAGCTGCTGCAGGAAAAGAGGCTGGAACCACTTCGAGCCCAGCTAGGGTTCAGCACAGGACTCCCTGCTTCTGTTGCTCTTGCTAAGCAAACTAATGTTTTCAGTGCACCGTAACTGTCACGTGACAAGCAGACCACGCTTAAATGTTACCACGAGTAGCTCTATCACTGCAGTTTTTGAAAACTGTTCTGTTTGCCAGGCAGCGTCTGGTCTCCAGCTCAGTAGTTCCATGAACTGTGATCTGTGGTCACTTGAGATGTGATGACTGAATCTGGGAAGAAGACCAGATTGAGAAACAAGTAGTGTGCCAGAACGACGGGATGTCTGTCTTGGACGTACAGACCAGTTGTCTAATGCACTTTGGGTTTAAGCTGCACAGACTCTGTTCTATTTACCAAGGAAAAACCATGACCTATGACTCAGACGTTCCTGACAAAATGGGCTTCTCAGTCTACATAAGTTATTCCTGCCCAACTCAAGTAATAACTAGGTACCTTGAAAGCTGCACCTAAGAAAAAGCTCTGATTTTTTTTTTTTTTAAGGCATCCAGAAGAGCCTGAAGAGATCTAAGTAAATTGTATTTTTCTGTCTCCTGTTTGCTGTGGGGGAAGAGAAAAAAACATGATTCCTCCAGCTCCAGGTCAAAATCTGAGATTCTGATCCAGAGAGCACCCAGCCCAGGAGAGGTATGTGTGCATAGACAGCCGAGTCCTCTGTTGCAATAGAGTTAATCGTTAGCAGCCTCAATGCCAGGCTCCCTCTCTGGATCAGAGTACTTGATGTGCATCAGGAAAAGTGTCTGGATGTTTTAGTGTCTGTTTGTCCTCCTGTATTACTCACTGTGCTCAAAAGTCTCTCGATTAGTGGTTAGATTAATATTAAACCTGTATGTGCAACCAGTTCTAGCAAGGGAAAACACACGTGGTAGAGAGGATCTCCGCTTAGAAATGGTAGAACGCAATTGGCAGACCTGCTAAACAGTGAATGCAGATCAGCGGCAGGTGGAGACATCTGTAAGACAGTAGCCAGGTGCCTTAGTTGTATCTTTTTATCTAGACCTGCTCTTTTAGCTCACCAGTTCGATCTGGAAGGGAGCGTGCTTTGTTTAATACAGCAGAGATCCCTGGCAGGTAGCTGTCCTCACCAACTTCCTCTCAGCTACATAAAGCAAAAGCGGGTGTGTTTTGGGTTTGTTGGTGTCCAGGCTTGTTCAGCTCAGGCTTCCTTCCAAGCTTTCAAGATTCCCTCCTCCAGCCTTCTCGGTCCTTCCTGGTCCAGGAACCAGGGGTGAGGCCCTTTGCCACATCCACCCCGGTCCGGACGCTTGCTGCTGTGAGTAAGCGGAGCCCACATCCTGTTCCCACACAGGAACAATTCCTGCCGTGGCAGAGCTGGCTCTAGGCAAACACTGCAAACACACGCCTCCTCCCCCTCCCCGCCCTTGAGCATGGGTAGCTCATCTCCCAGAAATGGGAATCCCTACAAATCATCCTAACAGACTGGCTTTCAGCTGCTCCTAGCAGGATACCCAGCAAGCTTATTGTTCAAGGTCACATAAAAGGAATTTCCTAAGCTTTTGCTGTACATGTGGTATTACAAGTTTATTCCATCTTTACTTAAACAGCTGCTTTCATACTCATCTGTAAACACTCACTTTAAACCACTTCTTAATGGAAAAAATGGCCAAAGTGACTTCGTGCAAACACTAGGAATGTCGTTACACAAAGTACCTGTGAATCAGTCACCCACTCTGCACTACCTGGCCTGCTTTGCAGAATCTTCCCCATCAAGGTAAGCCAGAAGATTAAAGGGATGCTCCTTCAGAGTGAATCAGTGTTTTCCTAGGAATGCGTGAGCTCTACTGCCATTAAATGGGCAAACCTCCTCTATGTAGAGATGTGTCAAGGTGAACCAAGTATTCGAAAGAGGCTTTACAGGGAGAACTAAGTGCCTTTTTTCTCCTCTTTAGTAGGTCAGAAAGGGGTTGAGTGACAGGGTTAAACTAGGAATGCAGGTCTTCAAGCTGAGTGACTTCTCTTTTCTCTGTCCCTGCCTTTCCTTACTGTGTTGCCAGGTGCCCATTCTGCATCTACTCCACTAACCGCCCCGCAGCAATGGAGTGCCACCTGAAGACTCACTACAAGATGGAGTACAAGTGTCGGATCTGCCAGACAGTGAAAGCAAATCAGCTGGAGCTGGAGATGCACATCCGAGAACACCGCCTTGGCAACCATTACAAGTGCGACCAGTGTGGCTACCTGTCCAAGACCGCCAACAAGCTGATTGAACACGTGCGTGTCCACACAGGTGAGCGCCCTTTTCACTGTGACCAGTGCAGCTACAGCTGCAAACGCAAAGACAATCTCAACTTGCACAAGAAACTGAAGCATGCTCCACGCCAGACTTTCAGCTGTGATGAGTGCCTGTTCAAGACTACCCACCCTTTTGTCTTCAGCCGCCACGTGAAGAAGCACCAGAACGGGGACTGCTCCGAAGAGGAGAAAAAGGGCCAGTATTCAACCTCTAAGGAAGCCAGCCCACTCCTACCAGTGAACAGCTCCAGAAACCTCCTGTCACCCCTCTCAGTTATGTCTGCCTCCCAGGCTCTGCAAACAGTGGCTATGTCAGCTGCACATGGCAGCGGGGCGGAGCCAAACTTGGCAGTGAAAGCCTTGGCCATCAATGGCACTTCCCTGTGCTTTGATAAATACTGGAACTCGGAGTTTGCCCACCTTATTCCTTTAACAATGTTTTTCCCCAAAAACCACTATGATCTCACATTCCATCCACCCAGACCTCAGACTGCACCGGGAGGTGCCTCTTCACCTAAACACTCCTTCCTTGCCTACCTTGGACTAACAGAAAGGGCAGAAACTGTCTGAGGGCAGTTACATTCTGTACCAAAAATACCCCAACAAATCCAGCAGGTATACATTGCTGCAAAACGTAGCCCGAAGAGGTAACGAACACTTGTACTATATCATTAGTAAGGTTTAGAAAATGGCTCTGTGTGTATACTTATTGCATTGACATGAAAGCTGCTTTATTAAATCTTCAAGAGGTGACCTACTGCATACTTCTACCTTCAGAGGCATGTTCCCAGTACTCTTATCTAAGAAACTATTTTGTCTTGTTAAGCTGAAAAAGAGTGTCCTTAATGGCAATCAGCACTTGTAAGATTACATATTGATGCATTTTATTTTTGGGCTTTGTGTGTGTGTGTGTGTGAGTGCGTGAAAGAGAGTCTACCTATAGCGTGCCATGACATTGCTTTTGCACATCCCTTGTATTGGCTTATTTAATTATTATTCTTTTCCCCTTTTCACACACTTGCTCCCTCCCTTCCCTCCGTCTCCCCCTGAACTGTGGAGTTGTGGAAGGACTAACGCTTGGTTCAGGGTGGACTGGTGTATTATTTCAGTGCTGTTTGCAGCTTCCTTTAGTTGTTTGATGCCTTGTACTCAGTTGTCAAGGTTTGAGGATTTGGGGTAGAACGGATGAGGAAAAAGTTGCTTTCAGCACTGCAGGATGAGAGTGTGACAACTAAGAGCATGTGTATGTACACACACACACATGCATATGCAGTGTGTGCAGTCTACACACCCACACAGCAGGCCCAATTCTTAACTGTTACACAGGTGTAACAAACACCTGCATCTGGGCCACAGCATACATCTTTTGTTTTAAAAGGGCATATAAATATTATATATATATATATATACT